CACCATGACAACAGATATAGAAATCACTTAGTGACTCCTAGAAAGAAAACACAGTGACACAGTACCCCTTGTATGGCGAATCAAACTAAAGCTTGCATTCAAATGGCTATTCAGCTTGGGCATTCATGTAGAGGATGGGGTGGATTTTACACAGGTAACAACAACAGAAAGGCCAGCAAGCACTCCAGCCACAGCATATGGTAAAGTCTCTGTTTAATTAATGCATCCTCAATAGAATTTATCCATTTTAAATTTGTTTTCTTTTACTTGAAACATCATTAATGTAAAGGGCAACATTAATCAACATCTTGCAACTTAAAAGGGCATTAAAAAGTGATCTTTCCCCCCCCCACACACCACAGAATCTTTTCAAGTACTTTTGCTCACTGCGACTGATTCCAGGCAGTCAGAGTCCTTAATCGTAAGGCAAATCTAGAGAGGCCTCTACTGGCCAGCCTCTCCAGCTGCAATTTTTCCATTTTTATGTGACTTGGAAAAGCAAGCAGTGGAGTAGCTACAAGCTTTTATCTTAAAGTTGCACACAGAAGGGATTACTGATAAATATATGGCGCAAAACATAGGAAAATTGTGCTTTTTTAAAGCTATCATGTAAGGTATAACTTTACTCTTTTAAAAGAAAGTAAGAAGACTAGCAAGATTTACTCCAGCTGTGATGTGTTTGCCTCAATGACATTTTGAGACATTTTAAGATTATAGGTCTGAAAACTAATGGGTAATAATATTCCTTTGTGGACTGGGCTCTCCTTAAAGTTGGGGCTTAAATCCATTTACATTTGAAATTCTCATATGCATGTGGCATTTCATGTATGCATTTTTCACAGCTGGACTAAAACATACTCAGAGAAATTAAATCAAGAGCACAAGAAAAAGAAGTTATTGAACCCTGCTTCTCTGGGCTTTTCACAGTGACAATATAAAGACAAAGAATTTCAAAATCCCCCATTCAGGTAAAATCTAATGTTTCAGGCAGAGGTCAGTGTGCTTTATGCTAATATCAGTAGTTTTGTCTGGGAAAAAAAAAGTTTCTGTTGTATCCTTTAAATGAAAATATGAAGTGTGAGTTTGAAGATACTTAAAACTAAATTGACTTTCTTCCTTTAATTCTTGTTATTCTACTTATTAACCACAAACCGCAGGAATAAGAAATATCTACTAGGCAGAGAATGCAACTCACTAGGTTTTAACTTATTACTGTGTAGATAGGAAACTTCTAAAAACCCACGGAGAATGGGCAAACTGACAGATCTGGTGAAATAAATCCCAAAGTTGAAGGCTGAAAGAAGAACTGATTCTAGAAATAAAGTGCAAAATGTTGATGGCAAATATAATTACCAGGGAAGCAACTTACCTCAGATTGTGGTAGGCTGCTCCAAAACCTTAGCATAATTTACTAAGACTTTTGTGTGTGTGTGTGTGTGTGTGTGTGTAGAATATACATCATAGTAATTCCTAATTATATTTCTTCTAAAAGTCTACAGTCTCTAATAAATCCTCAGGAAGTCATACAGATTATTTGCATTATACTTATGGTTAGAAAATTTTCAACCCTTGGGTGATCTATAAATATACTTTTTTTTTTTCCTTAGTAGAAAAGGATTTAATAAGTACCAAATATCCTAAGAGCCTTATCTAGGAAGATCTTAACATATACACAATAAATCTCACATCACATAAATTCAACTGTCTTTCACCTTGAAGACTATTAAAATGAAAAAAAAAAAAAGTTATATCATTACAATTTCTCCAGTATAATTTAAAAGCACTGAAAGAATAGGAAAGAAAAAACATATTTTAACAAGCCTAGATTAGCTTGTATTTCTTACAGCACCCAGCATTCACTGTCTTTTTGTAAAATTTTTATTTGTCCATCACGCCATACAAGCCACCAGCTAATTTTACCTGTGATTAGCTTTCACTAGAAAGGCTGAGCGCAGGGAAGGAGGTGTAATACAGGTCAATTCCTACCTCATGGTCAATGTAGCCTTTAAAAAATAAACAGCAGCTCTGGAGCTTGCCCTGCTAGTCCCAACAGTGACACCTCCTGGGGCAAGCGGGCTCCAGGCAGCTGCGAGACTTTCTCTGCTTTGAAGTACAGTGAGAGCTCCAGTCTGCAGAGCTGCTCCAGTCCCAGGCCGAGAGTTTCTTTGAAGAAACTTTTCAGGACTGAAGCACTGCGGGGAGGAAAATGAACAACCCTGTTTAATTACATCAGTTTAGTGAGGAAAGCACAGGAGCCACCAGCCATGTGGATGGACAATATGAAACACTAATATTATCCTTCAGGTACTTCATTAAAAAAAAGGGGGATTCAGTTTGGAAAGTAGTGATCCAGACATAGTTTAGGGATATGTCCAACAACTGCGCCCACAGTGCAGGGTGAACATTAGACCCTGTGGCTTTCTTGCTTTTAGCAGGTTTTGTTTATTTCTTTGGTTTGGTGGGGGTTGTTGGTTTGGTTTTGATTTCTTTGTTTGTTTGTTTAATTTGGTTTTGTGTAGTATAAGCTCACCTATGCAGAAAAGCTGGAAACATTTTAAATGACAGTTTCCACTGATCTCACAGCATTTCAAACCAAACTTCTAAATACTATGGTACAAATAGTCTATAATCTACATGTCCAGTTCTGCAAACTCTAGGTAATGGGCACAAATCTTTGAACCGCAGGAACCCAGTAAGGACTGGTTACAACAAAGAGATTTTGTCACAAACCACAGTGTCCTGAAAGAAAATTGATAAAACCAGATTGTAGGAAAAACATATTCTAAATATGTCTGGATTTAGAATAGCCTTTACTGGTGTCTGACTTAAAAGAGAAAAAAAAAATTTGCAAATTTAACTCAAGACCACCCTTTTGCATGTGGATTAATTTTTTCCTTTAGATTTTTGCAGAACTAATGTTGAACAAAAATATTGCCAATCAGTTCACAATGGCCAAGAAATCCACAGTGGTCTTTGATGTCAGACTAATAAAAATAAATTTTAAGAATCATACATTTTTAGGAATATGGACTGTCAGCATTTCATTGAGGAATCTCTGGCATGTGGTAATTTCCTGACACAGATAGAATTACACAGATTTGGTGACATCAAAGTGTAAAAGAGCTCACACAAATTGGTTGAGAGGGTTTTTGTTTTCTTATTTCTAGTGAGTTCATTATTTCTATTTAAAAATCCAAACAAACAGGATATGAACAACCAATTAATAAACATTTTCAGTATATGAATTTCCAGGAAATGATTCCATGGACAGAAGTAATCTCAAAACAATACACAATTCCAGTCAAATCTAACAAGTGATCTGACAGCTTTCTGGGAACTAGCAGACTAGAAAGCACACAGAGAACTCAGGGGAAAAAAAAACCTCTAGAGATCTGCTTTTGCAGGTGAAGCTGCAATAGAATTTTCTGCATTTTATTTGTCATAATTGGACAAATACGCAATTTACTAATTATTAAAAAAAATCCAAAATTAATAAGCTGGAAACTAGAAATCCACAAAGGAGAAGTTAACGTACTCAAGAAATGTACTTTTTTCAATTCAGCTGCAAATGAAGTAGATCAAACCAGGGAAAAAAAGGGAAACAATATAAAAACATGTATAGTATTATTACCTGATTTATTAAAAAGCCCAGGAGTCTGACTTATAAATCTCTTTTATAAATATAATTATTCCAATTCTGTTCAATAATACATATGTAAAAGAAATATTGTATATTGGCTGCACAGCCACACATGTATCTAAAAGACGGAATAATGTTTAAAAACATTTTAAGATAGTTGCATCTACATGTTCCAGACAGAATATGCAGAATTACTTACAAACAGTGTATTTTATATACCTTTATATTTTAAAGCATGATCAAGTTACAGGTAAAGTGGTAAAGTGGGGGTGGGGTGGAGGTGGAATCTGCCATTGCTGCCACGTACAGAACTCATCTTTTTTTTCACTCTTATAGTCAAATTTGAGATACTGTATTTACTTTCTGATGGTGTGGTGTTGTTAATATATCATAAATAGCGTACAATTAAAAAGACCATAAAATACAGCAGCAGAGATAAAAGACAGTTAAAAAAGAAACCCCCCCCCGGGGCGGGGTTGAGAGGAGTGGAACAAGCAAGGACTAACACCTGGGCTTGTACCTGGCTGTGCCTTTGTGACTAATACTACAGCTTAGGGAAGCCAAAAATTGCAAAACGGACAAAGTTTCCCCAAGTACCTGAAGCAGTAATTCACCTGATGTCTACAACAGCCAGGAGACAGATTCCCTTTCTGCCTCAGAAGAACCCATTTATCTATTTCACGGGGGATTTGCGCAGTGTAAAGCTCCAGAAAGCCCATGGGCTGACGTGGGGAAATGGTATCCAGCAGCACAGGGCAGCCCAGGCAGCCCATCAAGAGCAAAGCCACAAAACAGAGCCAGAGGCAGCTCCAAAGCTGCCAACACAACTGCCTACAAAAGCTGCCAACGAGCCAGTAACTGCTTGTGGGAAAATATCACTTACCCGTAGCATCTGGGTCCCGTGATTACTGTCCAAAGAAACACAGACTGGTAAGATAATGACAGGATAAATAGCACTTCATTTCTCCTATTTCTCCCCCTTTCCTCCCACAGATTTTTTATACACTACCCCACAAACCTGGGTACAATTTTTTAAAAATTTAGTTGTTTTAATCTTTGTGTTACTTATGAAGTAAAACGAGCCTTCCTGCTTCATCTCTAAAAATAGCTTTTGCACGCGCTTCCCCTGGCTCCCGATGTACGACACATCGTGGGGCCATTTGTTACCATTATTGACATGTTTGTGGTGAACTGCAAGCGTGTTTACAGTAGAAATGAAGTCCCTGCTCTCTTGGAGGTAATCCTGGGGAGTCTAAAAGACTCACGGGAGTCCTTGACATGGATTCTCTAAAAAGAATTTCTGTTCCCATATAAATAAATTATCTTGGGGCCAAATATTTATATTTTCCTTCTATTTCAGGAAGGCAGCAGATGAAAAAGTTCCCGATGGTTCTAGCAATAGTGCCCTGCACAAGCTCTTTGCTATGGAACATGACGATGAATGGGAGAAAAAGAGGAAGAGAAGGGCTTTGCACTTACCCCTTGCAGTGTAATAGAATGAGAAATGGGGCTTTGGCCACAGGTAAATAAGGCAAAGTGAGAACTGGCTCCCTAAGGTGATGGGTGTCAAAAATGCTAGTGGACCTAAAGACCAGAGATGCCTTATGGCAAGTGAATTGGCCCCAACTTCCCCAAATTATGCCAAAGGATGACCAGAAAATTTTACCATTAGCTCTTGGTTAGAACTGATAGATTTCCATTCTCTTCCAGTATCTATTCACTGCAGTTTCTATTAAAAATATACAGCATTATCATCTTACCAGCATAGGCTGCTTTTTTTTTTCCTGCAGAAATTCACTAAGAGAAGTAACTTTAACAAGAATTGCAGTTTGTACATTTGCACCACTGAAACACACTCAGACAGTCACTCGTTAAAACTGTCCAGTTATGTGTAACATATATAGGACTGTGCAACATGCCAGGTGTTAAACAAAACATGAGGTGACATCATTCTGTGGATTGGGCTATAGAAAATATAATCTCCTGGTGATCTACAGGGGAAAAAACTCACTGCTTTTTGGTGAATTTAACAGAAAATGACAGAAGAGTATAAGTTGTTATTGTCTTTATATTTGGAAACTGGGCAAATCTGTCTCTGCATGCACCACTTCATGTTTATAAGCAGCAAGCCTACACTAAATGTGTCACTAAAAATATTCTTTCTAGTAAGGAATAAGGAGCTTAGAGTAAAATAAACAAAATTTATAAGAATATTTGTGAGCTGCAGATATATTTAAGAAATATCCAAGGGAGGCTAACCAATAACATAAGAGGAAATTGTAAACTGGAGTTCCTGTATAATAAACAGAGAAATATGGATTCAATGCCACAATCTGTTTTCTTGTTTGTATTTGGGTTTTTTTTAATTCTCACAGACAGAAAGGTGTTTGACTTCAGCTATGTACTCTTTTGATTGATGGATTACTTGACCAAATGTTGCTGAGAGATTATTATTTCTATTTCTGTGTAAATTAATGAATTCCAAAACCCATTCAAATTTATAGTATTATTTATACCTTCATTAAACAAACAGCAAGCATTATTGCTAAAGAGTTCAGCTCCTCCTTATGCACTGGACAGGGTCTATATTAAAACCCAAATGTATCTCCAGTGTGAGGCTGAGCTCTGAGAGGAGGTTACTGTACATATCATTAGTACTAGCCAGCCTTGTACTTGGAAACAAGAGAAAAAGTATATGTGAAAATGCATTTGTTTCAGTGAAACAAAGGACAGAAAACTAACCAAGGTACCCATGATGTGCTACAAGACCCTTGCTTTCAATACTGTGAGATGAGTACAGAAAACTGTGTTTGATAGCACTGAGCATGGTCAAAAGGAAACATATCTTAGACAGCATCACATATATGCCAAGAGATAAATGACAGGCTAACTCTGTTTTATATTAAGCAGAAAAGTTGATAGGGGTGTAAAGACATCTTAAAAGGTTGTTGCTAAAGTCAGACTCTATATGCAGGCTTTCTATGCAATATCGTAGTGCCTATTTTAGAATAATTAAAAAAAAGCAAAGGAGATTATTTGTTCCTTTTAATAGCTTGTTTTTTCTGTTCACATACAGTTTGTTTACTGCTTTTTTTGTTCAGTTATCTGAATAATATATTCAGTGTCTTGAATATTTAGTGGCATACAGATCCTGCTTACATTCAACATTTTCATATTTCATTGTCTTTTAATTACTACAAAACCTTATGCATAAGCCACATTGTAATATTATTTGCTTCCACTCCACCGAAAATCATGTACATTTTCTTGAACATGGAAATATTTTTCATTTTTAATATGGAATTCTCTGAGAAGGCACACGGTTTCAGTAGTTAGGCCCAATGTTCCAAATAAAATATGTCACCTCTGTTTCAGGACACAAAAAGGCATTGTATCTTATGTACTTTAAAAGAATTCCAGTGACACTTCATCCTTCACAATCTTATCATTCCAACATGACCAACAGAAAAATATTGAAGCTGTCACTAGTATCCATCTATTAAAAAAAAAAGTTTTTTTTTCTAAAATACATGTTTGATTTTTCCTACAGAAACACACTTATACTTTTATAAAGGCAGACTTTTTTTTCTCTTAAGACACCATCTGGAACTACAGAGAACTAGTTAGCTGCACACACACTCCATGCTCACTCTGTATTCTTCGGAATAACTGTCCAAATTTTATTAGGATTTCCTTATAATGATGTTATATTATGTCCTTGTGATACCTGAACATGTAGAGATCTTAATATTGATTTACTGTATCTTTTGCCCATCCTTGAGCAGTGTAGATAGCAATTACAGCTGTTGGTGGTATCTATTTTGTCTTTTCATAATTGTCATTTTTGGTTCTACTTAGGATTAAAATATGAAAATTGCATCACGTGCACATGAGTGGAGCTTCAGCCAAGTGATCAGCACTATCACAGCAGCGTCATCGTTTTCACCAGCATCCTCTTCATCTTGTTTATGAAAATTGCATACTGCAACATAAACTTTTAGAAGGAATGTATCATTACAAGAGCTGCCCTGACAAGAAGCCCTCATTCAGATCATTAATATCTTCCCCAAAAAATTCATCAGGGACAGAGAAACACCTGTACAGCTGCACCAGATGTTTCTTAATAGTTCTGCTTGGGTTGCTGTCTGAGATTGATCAGTTCAATGCTATTCCTTAGCTACTAGATCTAAAATCATTTACAAGCTCCTTATTGTTAGGGCTTTGCTCAGCTGAAGTTGCAAAAGTGCAGTGGTACATGCATTTTCTTAATTGCACAATGGATTTTTAAAAAGCAGTAAAAGTAAATACTCTGATGCATAGTAAATGACTGTTCATTCTCTCCAGTAACCAAAATAAAACATATTCCAACCATATGTTTGGAAGAGAGATAGGTAATATATGCTAAGAAACAGCAGAAAATATTTTCCAACTGCCCAAGTTCCTGGTTTTAGAGCAGTAATTTTCTTCAGCACTTGAAAAAGAAATCCTTGCTCAGGGTTGACTTGGTGTTGGTTTCTGTATAATATGTTCATGTACATAATGGAGAGCAAGCATTACATGCAACATCCTTGCAAGTATCAACTTTATCTACCAGTCCTCCCAAGCAGGGTATCCTCTCACTTGTCAATGAACTGAATCTTCTATTAAAAACTGAGTTGAACAAAGAAAAACGGTATGAGAAGGTGTTTGGTTTTGTTTTTTGGTTTTGTGCCTTTTTTTTCTTTTTTTTAAACACATACTGGCTGGTTTTAAAAAATCTTTTGCACACATTTGGATACAGATGAGAACAATTAAAGGCCCTCTAATAATTAATGTATATGCAATCTATAGCATGCATTCTCTTATTAGAGGCAGTGGAGTTTTTGTTGCAATCTAGCTAATAAAGGCTTTCTTTTCCACAAGAGAATTTTGACAGGGTTGACTCCAGACGGCTTTCCAGCTGAGGTCTGGGGCCTTGCTGAACCTTCAAAATTTTCCCATTTGAGCTGCATCAAAGTGAAGGAAATTCAAGGATCACTAACGTCTCAGATGGTAGCACTTGCCCTAACAACCAAGGTTCAGGAATTCTTTGGAGCAGGCTGAGGTCATTTTTCTCCCCTTTTCTCCTAATGCTTTTCTCTATTAATCAGAGCTCACAGCTCAGATTGGTCTTCAACTTCCTCCCAATCCTTGCTAAGCCTGTCATTTCTAGCTATTATTTACTTTAATGGACTTTGGCTGATCCCTTATGAAGCTTTGGATCTGAGAATAATAAGGCTGGAGAGTAACGGGCACAGACATGGGTGTGGGTTTGCCTGCAGATTAACCGTGGCAGATGGGCTTTATTGCGGTTTCCTGTGTGCCGAGTGTTGATTGAGAGGGTATAATGAGAGAGGTGGTGTCTGCACAATGGCTGCAGCCACTTCATTGCACCTCGCGTCTAAACAACCCCATTTTTCTAAATCTTTGGGTTGTGAAATTTTAGGAAGTCAGAGCACAAGAACAAGTACAAAAACAACTGTAAATAACCATGAATGTTAATCCAATCCTAATTGGTCCCTTCTTTCATTATGGGTACATTTTGCTGAGCTTCCCCCCCCCCCCCCTTTTTTCTTTTAACAAATGAATGATATGGACAGCTATGCATACGTTTGACTTTTATAACAGTTTAACACAAATATTACTTCACATCAATTTATATTATTATTAATATTAATGTCCCATTAGCTTTTGCATTATTAACATCAGCAGCAAAAGCTTATCTTGCAATCATCCTGTTATGCTTTAGGTTTTTGTCATCTTGGGGAAATTTGTTTGAATTAAATTATCTATTGTCTAAAGAATATCAAAAATAACAGCAGGAAAATTGCTTACTATCTGGCAAAATGTGTCAAAAATATGCTTTTCTAAGTCCAAATGCCATTAACTTTCAACAGCAATCAGATGATAAATTATTTTCAGCTATAGGTACTATCAAAAGATCTTTTACAAATTCCCCATTTTAAGGATTTTACTTAATTCCTCCCTTTCACTGATGGATTAAATCACAACTATTGATTCTTTTCTTCCTTTGGGGCTTTACCCATCTGTCCTAACGCTTTCATCCCAGCACCCCTTGGGCTGAGAGAAGTGTTCTACAAATGAACCAGTGAAAACCTGGAGAAGATTCCAGGTCAAGTTTGTGTACAAGAGTTTAAATTTTTAGTGACAGTCTTCCCTTACCACAGACGAAAGTTTCCACACAGAGCTGCACAAGCTAGCCCCACCAATTATCCTCCTCCTTTGAAAACCATTATCAAGTTTTTCAAAACTTCTTTCATTTCACTGTTGTCACTCGATGAAAAGGAAACTAACCACCATGTCAAGACAACTCGGCTGCCTGGCAACCAAGGGCCACATTTTAATTCTGACTTGCTTCTGGTCTTGACTAATGGAAAGTGACTATGTTAAGCCAGTCAGAAGAGTTGTTTGTCACTTCTGAAATGCAAACAAAACTATATTGTTTCGAAAGTCCTGGGCGTGATTGATGTAAAGATTTACAGTAACATCATTCATTTGCCCTTGTGTTTTAGTGGGATTGATGTCATATCTTTTCATGCTTTATTAAATGCTCTCAGAGAACTTAAAGACATGATGCTTTTTGTCCTAAAGAATCTGAAGAGATTTTTCTTATGCAAGAAAACTGGACTCCAGCTTGCAAGATTAAATGATTCAGCTCAACATGTGTCTGTAATTTAATAAGAAACATCAGCCCAGAAATGTGAACACATAACAAACTGAAAGAAAGAAAAAGCCAAGACAGGAAAAAAATAAAATCAACAGATTGGGGGAGGGGAATGAAAGATACACTGCTAACTCGCCAGCAGCAAAGTTTGTTTGGACAAAATTTCCCATAACTGAGTTAATTTTTTCACTTCTAATGCTAAAATTTCAAATTCTGCTCCCCACCTCTTTAACTGTAAATATATGCAATCACAAATATAAAACATGTGTCCATTTTTCTATAAAACATTATTGAAAACATTACAAGTAATATCAACATCAATTATCCTGACTAACTCTGACAGATTCAAAGAGGTTTAAACAGCTTGTTTTCAAAGTCATCTAAAAAATCCCCTCTAAAAACAATTATATTGCAAATTATTTTTTAAAGGCCAGGTTGACTTTTCTATTAAATTAAGAATCAGGAGAGGATGAATGAACCTACAGACAGTTTTCTCATCTGAAACAGGAAGACAGACACACACGTTCTCCATGTATAGATAAAATATTTTGTTGTAACACACACAAAATATATATATATATATATATGTGAAACAGAAAGGAAAACATAGCTAATGCAGTACTTTCTTTTCTATTTCAAGTATGTAATTCATTCTTCAAATGCACTGAGGCAATAATTTAATGAATATTTAGGGTAGTAGGCTTAGGCTTTTGCAAATATACTTAGCATCAGTGTTATGCTGGAGTTGTTTTCCAAAATCAGCACATTGGCTTTTTGCTGTTCTGCAATACCTGTTAATAAGTAGACCCTTATCATTAATTATTTTTTTTAAAAACAGATATTAGAATTTAAGCACAGTAATAACACATGCCGTAATTACTTTTGCCAGCTCGGATTCTTAGGGGTAGTCCACGAGGCACCAACATGTCAATTCTCTGGGCAGATATTTAAAAATTTTGGTGAATGGAAGGTATTTGTGAAGAAAAGAGAAGCAGTCAGCCTTTTTGAGTCCTGGTCCCTCTTGGTCCGTGGTGGAGGGTGATCCTACTCCAAGCCTTCCTACAAATCAAGCTGTCCTATACTCAGCTCATGCAATACTAACATCCCGATCTCATGAGATGTGGGACTTCATAGCCCATGTTTTCTAACCTTGACAACCAAATGGTCCAAAACATGAGTGCTCAGCCCAGCACCAGCACTCTGTCCTACCAGGTAAGAGGACAATGGATATTGATTACAGGTGGCTGCTGGGAGCTATCATGTGGACTCAGTCCCCAGAATATGACAGTGTTGCTGCCAGTGGGGTGAGCAGCTGCCAGAGCCATGTGAGCAGGCTTTCAGCTGAGGGCCAGGCTGCAAGGGGTTAGAGCACCCAGCAGAGGACAAGCATAGACAGCCCAGCACCAAGAGCACCACTGCTGTGGCATTTTGCTCCGAACCAGACTGCTTGTGTCTTTCTTGACCGTCACAACAACTCAACAGCGACAGTTTGTCAATGCTTAAAAACAAGGATGTGTACCTCCCCACCTTCCAGAAAATAATTAAGATCTCTGCAAGGCCTGCTACTTCAGGATCACTCAAGGCATGATTAAGTTGAAGAATTAGTGATCTCAAGGAAGAAGAAGGAGGAGGAGGAGGAAGGGAAGCAGCTGCCCAATCTTTCCTTTGAGTGGAAGTCAGGACTGGCTCAGACACAATAACTCCATTGACTCAGGAAAATAATTATGCATTCATTCAGAAGATTATCTAATCAGTCTAGGTCTAGATATTAGGTCAGTGGGTTACCTCAGCCTACCACCAGCCTCAGCAAGCCCTGCATCTCCAAGAAGAAACAATTTAAGAACATGCACATTCCAGGATCACAGCATTTTTACAGTCCTCATCATAGCCAAAACGCAAAAGCTGGGTGTAAAGCTGTCTCTCTACAGCCAAATTACATACAAAGCGTGTTGTAAATCAGCTTCACCCCAGGGAAGGCAAGCTGTAAACTACCTATCATTTTACACAGCTACGTCTAACCATCATGGTGGAGGAAGCCTGAAAAGGTCAAGAGATTTTTCTAAACTACCTACATCTCCGGAGTAGCTCAAAAAGCCACATAATCTAAAATCCTCAGATAGTATCTCTCTCTGATGTTTTTTTTTTCCTTATGGAAACGAATGTGTAATATTCTAACTGCCTTCAGCTTCTGCTGAATTAAACACATTCCAGCGTCTCTAGAGCAGCACTCAGGCAGTTGCACTCTCCCTTGCACTCTCCTGGGTAATCCTTTTGGGGGAAAGAATACATAACGAAGCCCTCAGCTGACAATCTGGGAGGCCTGCCACTGCTTATTGCCATCAGTTATTTTTCAACTGATTCAAAGGTAACACAAGGGCTGAAAGCTTGTAGCTACTTCTTTTGAGAAAATGGAGTCCAAATAGCTCCTCTTAATCCTGGGGATTACCCAAGAGATTCCAGTAACCTACCTTAGATCAACTCAAAGTTCAAAAATAAAGAAAAAAATTCTCTTTTGCAGTTTTTGAAGGCCCATGCTCCTTTCCAAAAACAAATATGCAAATCAAATTGCAGTGCAACTGACTGAAACTTTATACAATTGTTCCAGGTTCATAAACATTTCATGAACTCAGATTAAATTTCAATTACAATACAAGCACTTCCGTGAACGGCAGAATGAAGGATGCCTGTTCTCCCCTGGCTTTGTGCTCGTAGTTAGATTCCCTGGGACTTCAGGGACTGCAAAGCTCCAATGGAAAGTTGCCCCAGTTGGGACAATCTCTGTCCTGTGAGGACTCCTGATACCTTTCCCTCAGTGGGAACAACAGCACATCTTCCCTTGCTACCAGTTTCCACAAAACCTATAGCAACTGGTCAGCACATTCACTACCTATAGTGCACAGACTGACACAGACATAAAATGCAGAAATATGTGAGCATATAAAACATATTTACAAACAGGATA